GCTGAGCTGGTGGGTGGAGAGAAGAGGAGGGTCATCCAGTGTTGGGAGGAGGCAGGAAGGGGGCAGGGAGTGAGCAAGGGACGGGTTGTGACGATGGTGCAGTAAACCCAGGCCAGGTGGACGGGAAGTCTGCGAGGACGGTGATGGTCGGCCAGGGTGTTCCCTGAGTAGCTGCTGGGCACCAGAGGCAGTGAGTGAGGGACAGAGGAGACGGTCAGAGGGAGAGCACTTGAAGCCGAGATGTAGAAGGGAGTGCAGTTATTGGCATTGTCAAGACCAGGGAATAACCTTGACTGGCCAATTGAAGCGGGTGGAGGCCAGGGGAATGGGGTTAGGATGTTAGGATGGGCTAGCTATGCACATAGCGAAGTCCCCAAGAATGGTAACTGGAGCAGTGTGAGAGAGCAGGGTAGAATCTAGACGCTCCAATCCTCGGCAGTTATGAGAGACTGTTGGGGAGATACCGTAGCTGACAGTGCCCAGGAAGGGCTGCAGGAGCCACATCTAATGGCATGTGCTTCCAGGGGGCTGGGGTTTGAGGAAGACGAAAAACCACAATCTGAATGTGGCAAAGGGGCGCCAGGTCCACTTGCAGTCTGGGCAGCACTCCGGGGGCGTGAGAGAGAATGGAGAGGAAGGGAGGAAATGCCAGCAGGACGGTCCCCATTAGAGTCAGCCCCATGTATCAGAACCATCTGGAGGGATTCAGAACGACAGGTGTCCAGGCCCCTCCCCCCGAGGACCCTGTTTCCATAGGTCTGGGCCATGGCAAAGTCCAGGGGTCGTCGCTTTTAAACATGGGCCCAGGTGACGCAACAGGCACCAGAGAGCCACTGAGTTAAGGGAGGCGGCAGGCCCGTCAGAGCAAAGGTGGAGGCTGTGGGATACCCACCCCAGAGAGCTGGAACCCCTGGGGGCTCAAATTTGCCCTGGGTGCAGTCCTGCCTAGGCAGCCACATTGCTTTGTTACAGATGACCTCATTACATATTATTTCTCCTATATTCTTGGAATTCTGTGTGTAAGTAGCTTGTATTATCTACAGATTTCATTTCATGTTAGCAAAGGGGATTACAGAATACTCATAAAGAGGAGCCTGCGTGGGTGAGATGCTCTGTGTGCTCAGGAGGGCACAGGACAAGCATCTGGGGTCTGTGACAGATTCAGGGCCAAGTGGAGGCAAGTGAGGGGCAGAGTGACAAGGGACACCATGGTAACCAATCCAGACAAGGTCGTTCTGGCGGTTTGGGTGAGGTGCAAGCCGGTGCTGAATAAGGAGCCCCCTGAGGGCTGGGTAGCAGCTGAACTCCTGGGTCCTCACAGGGACCTGCAGCAGGTGAGCAGGCCGGTTGCACAGGATGCCATCAGCCACCAGGTGGCAGCAGGGGACAGGAGGAGAGGGCCAGGCCCCACCGTGGAAAGTCGGGGACGCCAGCACCTAGGAATCTGCTCCTGGGGCAGACTGGCTGGGGGCCCAGGTATCCCACCCCCTTGCTCCATTATAATATAGGACTGTCTCCCCAGATCCCGGGCTGCCCCAGGCTGGCCAGGCCATGGAGGGAAGCTGTGTCAGACTGCAGCCCCTCACTTCCTGCAGTGACAGGGTAATCCCGCCAGGCCCCAGGGATGGTCCAGCTGCTCACTTTCCTCTCTCTCAGGCCCACCTTTCATCCCCTGGAAGCTGCTGCCCACTTCAGGCTTCCTGCGGCCCTGGGCACATCTTGCACCACCCAGATCCGCAGGCCCCAGGAAGCCCCCCACCCCTCTGCCCCCAACCCTGCCCCCATGGAGACTTCCGGGCTGAGGCCCAGGGCTCAGAGCCCAATGCCGACCCACAAGGCAAGGTGAGCAGAGTGGGGATTCTCACTCCAAAAGAAAGGCCTGGGCCCAACCCCAGAGCTGCCATTCTCATCCACAAGCCAAGCATGGCGAGAGGCCCTCAGCGCTCCGGTTCTGCCAACCTTTCTCACTGACCAGGCTCACGTCGCCCCCTCACATGTTCGCTCACCCCAAAACCATCTGCCCACCGCCCCTCACACAGCACCCCAAACCTGTTGCTGCTTGGCACCCCCAGGGGGCCAGGGATGAGGACACACCCCCGGCTCCCCACCTGTGCTCTCACTGGCCAGATCCTAATGGGCAGGTCCGGCCCGCCCCCAGGCCAGGTGCCACCTGTGAGGAATAAAGCTTCGGCCACCAAGGCAGCTCCAGAGGAACCTCCGCTGTCTGCCATGAAGGGGAGCAGCACCCTCCTGCTGGTGGCCCTCACCTCGCTCTGCACCTGCAGTGAGTCTGACAGAGGCTTCCAGCATATTCTACAAGTCGAGGATGGGCAGGAACCCGGGGAGCTAGAAATCCAGGCACTGGGACCCTTGCAATGAATAGCGCCCGCCTTCCCAGGCGCCCACCTGCCTCCAGCACAGGACACGGACAGGGCCGAAGACTCTGGCACCCCTGCAGACCCCAGTCCCCCCAGAACCCCACCTCAACCCCAGACCAAGCCCAACTGACCCCAACTCCAGCCCAGCTCCAACCTCTGCCCCAGTGTCACGACCAAGCCCAATAGCACCAACCAAGCCCAGCCCAGCCCAGCCCGACCCCAAACCTCCAAGCCCCAGGTCAGCCAACCTCAGAGGGAGGGGAAATTCCTGCCACATCAGGGGGTGACTTTCCTTCCCCAGTGATGACAGGGGACCCAGAGTGGAGAGAGGCACCTGAGGTTAGGGGTGACAGGAGGGGTCTGCAGCAGGTGGAGTTGGGGATTTTGTGGAGGAAGATCTGGGGCAAGTAAGATGGGGTAACCGTGGGGCACACCTGGGTCAGGCGAGATGGGGTAATGGTAGGGGGACGCCTGGGGCAGGCGAGGTAGGGTAATGGTGGGGGGACGCCTGGGGCAGGTGAGATGAGGTAATCGTGGGGGTACACCTGGGGCAGGCGAGGTGGGGTAATCATGAGGATATACCTGGGGCAGGCGAGGTGGGGTAATCGTGGGCGGACGCCTGGGGCAGGCGAGACGGGGTAATGGTGGGGGGATGCCTAGGGCAGGCGAGGTGGGGTAATCGTTGGGGGACGCCTGGGGCAGGTGAGATGGGGTAATTGTGGAGGTACACCTGGGGCAGGCGAGACGGGGTAATGGTAGGGGGACGTCTCGGGCAGGTGTATGGGAATCGATAAGGAAGGTCTGAGACCGCTGAGCTTGGTACACGGGGGTCTGGGGCTGGGACTGAAATGGAGTCTTCTTCTCCTGGCATCATCTCACCGCACGATACAGGGCTGGCCACAGGGGAGGACAACAGTGAGTTGTTCATGGACTTCCTGCAAACGCTGCTGGTGGGGTCCCCAGAGGAGCTCTACGAGGGGCCACTTGGCAAGTACGATGTCAACGCAGATGCCAAGGCAGCGCTGACGGAGCTCAAATCCTGCATAGATGGCCTTCAGCCCATGCACAAGGCGGAGCTGATCAAGCTGCTGGTACCGTGGCCGGGGGGCTCCCCATTCCCTAAAGGACCCACAGCCCTGCTCCCCAGGCCCTCCACCAAACACCGTGGGCCCTGATCACCCGCCCAATGCAGCGCCCCCACAGCCCACCACCCACAGACACCCCAACCTGCCTCAGCCAGCAGAAGTGGACACCCCAGACCTCACTGTCCACAGAGCAGCCCTCGGCCTCCCTCCACACGCACATATATGCATATGTACACAAGTGCACACACACAAGCACACACACCACTTCCCCAGTGGCTAGAAGGGGACTGCCCACAATGTGCCAGAGCCCACCAACCCCCAGAGGCTGGCTGGGCCTGTCTGCCTGGTGGAGCTGTGGCTCTCTAATTATGGATCACCAGGCACGGGATCCCAAGCCCCCTTGGCCCACACATGTCTGCCTTCCAGGTCCAAGTGCTGGGCAGTGAGGACGGCGCCTAGCAGACCCCAGACATGGCTCCAGGCAGCCACAGGACCAGCTATACAAGCAGCCACGGCCACACTGCCCCACTACCACTTCATCACGTGTAAATTTATTGTTAAACCTTTCAATCAATAAAGCCTCCTGCAGCTCAGGCTCTGGCTCCTGTCTGTCCCCACACTCAGGAAAACAACCACATGCGCATGCAGACTCACATACACAGGGCCACAGGCGCGGAGCGTGCACCGATAAGTAACCCCACACAGAGGGCAGACGCCCGTGTGGGCAGATACACAGAACCAGACAGACACATAGGCAGACGTGCGGACGCAGGGAGGCATCTGGACACAAGAAGGTCTGCAGAGGCAGTGGTGGGAGGCAGGAGGAGGGGCTCAGAGCAGGGAGGGGCAAAGAGCCTCAGAAAGAGGATGCGGCCAGGGCTGGGGGGACAGCTGGGTGGGGGTGCTCTGCATCTAAAGGCTGTCGTTCCAAGACAATAAATACACACAATATACACATGGCACGAGTCCAGGGAGTCGAGAGCAATCTCTCTCCCCAAAGTCACCCAAGGAAAGAGTCTGCCTGGGAGAGATGCAGACCCAAGTCGGGGCCCCAGGAGGAGCCCTGACCAAGTCAAGAAGTGCACTTGCTCAGGAGGATGCCGGAGGGACAGCAGGGTCTGAGAAAGCTCCCACAGGAGTCCCACGCTGACTCCCGCCCACCCCTAACCGACACAGAACCTAGTCTCACCCTGGATCCCAGGATCCCCAACAGCCAGAGCCCTCCTGCGCCCCAGCTTCCCCAGCTCAGTGGTCTCCACTGGAGGCAGGGTTGACTGGTTCAGCTCTGCCCCTCACGACCTTCGCTTCTTGGCCACCCCAGCTCTGGGCCCTGTGGCCTCGCTGTCTCTTACCCTGCCCTCCATGCCTCTGTCCCACCCACCGCCATGAGTAGCAGAGCAGTCCTGGGACCAGAGCCATGCCTGGCAAGGCTGGGAGTCCCTCGGGCCAAGGCCATTGTCTCCATCACAGACAGTGATCTAGAACCCACCTTCCCACAAAGCCACATTCTAGAGCTCAGGGGCCGGGACCCCTTCCCAATTCTCGAAGTCCCTGGATGGAGAGGTCTTCCTCTCCATGCTCCTTTTTCAGGAACAGCCTGGCACCAAAGCCAGTGCAACAGGACCGCCTCTAAGGAGGCTGGTCCATATGTTGCTCTGAGCGTCGCTCCTGGACCGAGGAGGTAAGCGCCCCTCCAGAGAAGCCCCCTCCCTGTCCCATGGCACAGCCTCAGCCAAGAAGTTCCGCACCTTTGCTGGCTGCTCCTTGCCCAGTCACGCCCAGGGTCCTCTGAGTAGAGGAACCTGCCCAGACCCCCTTAGAGCCAGAGATGGGTGGTCAGTGAGGGCCTGAAGAGGCAGCTCTTCTGGGCTTGTATAGGAGGGTCCGACGCGCCTCCTCTTGGGGGTTGGTGAGGGCAGAGTGAACCACTACTCCAAACAGAGGCTCCCACTGCCCTTATGTCCAGGCCCCAGTTTGAGACCCCGCTGAGGAGGCAGTGGCCTGCAGCTCTGCCTATCAGTGGGGGCAAAAGCACAGACAGAGGTGGGGGCTGGGGCTTCCCAGCACCTGGTCACCCTCCCGTCCATGGACAGAGCCAGCCATGGCAGAGGAGGTATGGGTGGGCACCTGGAGGCCACATCGTCCCCGGGGGCCCATCATGGCCCTCTACAGCAGCCCTGGACCCAAGTACCTGATTCCACCTACCACGGGTAAGCACCAGTGAGCATGGGGGCAGGGGGGACTGGGGCGGGGGCAGGAGCCAGATCTGAGGTGCGTCGGGGGGTGGGCCTGGGGAGGGTCTGAGATGCATCTGCGGAGGGTCTGAGGTGGGCCTGGGGAGGGTCTGTGATGGGTCTGGGGAAGGTCTGAGGTGGGCCTGGGGAGGGTCTGGGATGGGCCTGGGGAGGGTCTGAGGAGGATCTAGGGGGGGCTAAGGAGGGTCTAGGGAGGGTCTGGGATGGGTCTGGGGAGGGTCTGAGATGGGCCTAGGGAAGGGTCTACGGAGGGTCTGAGGTGGACCTGGGGAAGGTCTGAGGAGGGCCTGCTGGGGCCTGGGGCTCATCCCTGACTCCCAGCCCATCAACTGCCCTGCAGTCAATAGGGTGGGGAGAAGGGCAGGCTCTGGTTCCACGGTATTCAAAGCCCCTTCCCCCCAGGTTTTGTGAAGCACACACCCACCAAGCTGCGAGCACCGGCCTACAGCTTCCGGGGGGCCCCCATGCTCCTGGCAGAGAACTGCTCCCCTGGGCCACGCTACAGTGTGAACCCAAAGATACTGAGGACTGGCCAGGACCTCGGCCCCGCCTACTCCATCCTGGGGCGCTACCGCACCAAGACCATACTGACGCCGGGCCCTGGTGAGTAACCCTGGCCCAGCCCCAGCCAAGCTCAGCCCAGCTCAGCCCAGCTCAGCCCAGCCCAGCCCTGCCAGTGGCCACTGCATGTCCCAGTGAGGCAAGGGTGTGAGGGAGCACAGCTGTCCTCACCCTCCTGTCCCATCTTTCTCCTCGAGGGGGATACCACGAGGCCTGGGCAGGAGAGTTGCTGACCCCAATGCAGCCTCTGAGACCCTCGAGCCCAGGTCTAACCGGGCCTTGCTCAGCCTGAGTCCCTATACCAGGTCCACATTAGACCCTACTCTCCCTCCTCAAAAGTGGCCCATCCCCACAATTCCTGCAGCCAGCATTTCCATTCTGGACACTCCCTGACCAGTCTTAGTCATCATCCATGTTGGGGCCCGGAGGCCCCGTGCCTGCAATGTTGAGGGGTCCTCCTTGAGCCCCCTGAGCCAGGGCTGCATGGATGGTCCTCGCCCTCACAGCACCTTCTCCTCTCCTTTCCTCCCCCAGGCGACTACTTTCCAGAGAAATCTACCAAGTATGTGTTTGACTCGGCACCTAGCCACTCCATTTCTGCCCGGACCAAGACTTTCCGAGTGGATAGCACCCCAGGTCTGCAACAGCCCCCACAGCCCACCGCCAACGGGGTAGGGGATCCCACCTGGGGCAGTTGGGGCGGGGCAGCCAGATGGCTGGTGTCCTGGAGGTGGAAAGCCCCAGGGAAGGAGCTGGCGGAGGTTCTGGACACAGGACCCTGTCCAGCCTGAGACTCAGTGCCCATGCACCCCACAGGCCCTGCCGCCTACATGCTGCCCATGGTGATGGGGCCCCACACTGTCGGCAAGGTTTCCCAGCCCTCCTTCTCCATCAAGGGCCGCAGCAAGCTGGGCAGCTTTAGCGACGACCTGCACAAGGCAAGGGCAGAGCCGGGCAGAGCAGGGCTTACCCCCCAGAGAGACGGCCCATCTGACCCCTTCTCCCAGAACCCAGGACCCACAAGCCTGACCCCACCCTCCTGAAGCCCCTCAGCTCTTCATTCTCTGGGTGCCTGGGCACCACCCCTACCCCCTCCAGTGCTGAGGAGGGGCAGACAATGGACAAGGACGAAGAGGCCAAGGCCGGTGACAGTGCTGAGGAGGGCTGAGCAGGAAAGGGGTTTAGGGAGCACTGCTTGGCGGGTGAGGAGCAGTCTTCGATAGGGCGGCACGCAGGAAGCAGATGAGAAGCAGCTGTGAGATGTTTGGCGGGAGGGTTCTGCCTACGGAACAGCTGGTGCAAAGGCCCTGGGTGGGTGTGTGCCCGGAAGCCTGTGGAGCCTGGGGAGACTGGCAAGGTGGCATCACAGCACCGCTGACCTCCCCAGCCCAGCCCAGCCCAGGAGCCTCAAGTCCACAGGACAGCGTCCTGCCAGGAAGGGCCTCTCTCACACACACTCACAGAAGGGACGAGCCTGGGGCTGGCACACGCGGGGGTGTCACTGCCAGGGTGAGGCTGAAGCAGAGCAGTTACTTCCCACATCAAGAAGGAGTCCCATAGCACGGGGGTGTGACTGCTGATCGGAGACAGACAGGGCCCCTGGCACACACACACACGCAGAGCGCCTGACGCCTTCTGTCCGATGCTGGCCCCCTGCCTTCTGGGATCACATGCCCTGGCAGGCTGAGCTTGTCTGAGCCTCTTTTGCCTCCCAGACCCCAGGTCCTGCAGCCTACTGGCAGACCGACATGCAGGTGACTAAGTTCAAGGCTCCACAGTACACCATGGCTGCCCGGGTGGTGCCCCCAGGGGACAAGACCCTCAAGCCAGGACCAGGAGCCCACAGCCCTGAGAAGGTCTGGGAAAGGCACAGCCCAGAGAGGTGGGGTGGGGGTGACATGGCCCCCACCAGAGGGGGTGGGTCGGGATGCACGGCCCAGGGGGTTGAGTTGGGAGGGGGGGCACAGCCTGGGGGGGATGGCGGGGGAAGGGACTGTGAGCCTGCGTGGGTCACGGTGGCCATGCACCCTCAGAATGCTGTGCACCTCGCCCTTTTCTCCAGCTGGCAGGCTCCGCATCCCCAGACAGTAGTGACAGTTAATGCTGCTGAGTGCTCACCACATGCCACACTCTGAGTTCAAAACTGGCAGTGTGGCCTTCGTCCTGGTCACCTTGGCCCGGGGTTCAGGAGGGACAGCAAAGCCAGTCAGCAGCCCCAGCCCCAGTGAAGGCAGAGCCTGCGGGGTCGGGGCAGGGGTGCCAGCTCCTCTCACAGCCTCTCCTCTCCCAGGTGACAGTGACCAAGCCCTGCGCCCCCATCATCACCTTCGGCATCAAACATTCCGACTACATGACACCCCTGGTCGTGGACGTGGAATAGCCCTAGCCCCCACTCCACCCATCCCCTGCGCCTCTGCACATCACGTTCCCACAACAGATTCCCTGGACTGTGGGCCTGGGCCACCTCTACCAGCTGGGCTGCGGCTGGCCTACCCTACAGAGTAGAGCACGCTCGTTGGACAATTGTGACCAGTTATTTTTTCTATGCTGCTTTCCTATTTGCTAATCCTGTTTCCTGCTGTCCCCAAATATTTAATAAACCACAGATTCCATTAGTATTGGGTTTGTCTCACGGAGGAGGATCAAGCTTTTCCATAACAGGGGTGCAGTGCCAGCCCCCGTCAGGTCCCATCCTGGCTTCCAGGTCCTGGGGTCTGAGTGGAGAGAGAGGAGGGCTCCGGAGTGTCAGGCCCTCCCACGCCTGCCCTCCTGATCCCCTCTGCCTCGAACCCTGCCCTCCAAGTTTTGCTGTACATACCAAAGACGATCACACTGCATGCATCACTCCCATGTGCTCTTCCCCCTCAGAGATGGGCTGTGTGTCCCCCCACGCCTAGAATCCTGTGACTACCCTGCATAAAGTGATGCTACGTGACTTCTGGGGCCAGGCCATACAACAAGTCTGGATAACCCCCCTTTGCTCACCTTGAGCACCAGCCACCACATGGTGAGAAAGCTCAACACATGGTGAGGCCCTGCGCAGCCGCCAGGCAGTCAGCCCAGCTGGGCCCTCAGCTCACACCAACACGACCTGAAGATGTGTAAGCGAGCCTCACCGTGATGGCACCCCCAGCCTCACAACTCCCAACTGAGGCCTTGACATCCTAGAGCAGAGACAGCAATTCCTGCTCTGCCTGTCGCAAAGTCTGACCACAGTGGTCTTGGGACATAAATTATTATTGCAATGTTAAGTGACTAACTTTTAAGGTGACCTGTTACATATCAAAGGTAATACAGGAAGCACAGGACGTGGGCAGGGAAGGTACATCTGAGCTGTGCCTGAAGAGAGGCATATGCAGAGGCTGCCCACAGTCCAAGGCCAGGCCTCTACGATTTCACCTCACCTTGAGAGGTCACTGAGGACCTCAGGGCAGGTGGCCCTGTCACCCGTGGAACCACCGACTGTAGCTGTACAAAGCACAATACAGATGTTGACCCTCACTCAGCTGTGACCAGGCCAGGCTACATGTTCTAAGCACCTCACATTTATTCGTTTAATCCTTGAGAGGTAATGCTATCATTAGCCCCACTTGAGTTACAGAAACATGGGCAGAGCAGCAGGAAGTGGCAGCCTGTGACCGCCCGCCGGAGGGGACAAGTGAAGAGGGGCAGGGACCCGGGGGAACCGGAGACGGGGAAGGAAGCAGGGTCTAGACACTCAGTGCCCACGGCCAGTCTGTGGACCATGGTCAGTTCCAGACAAAACTCTCAGGCCCCGAAAGAAACGAGAGCATCAGAGACCACGTGTACTTCGTCAGGAAGCTGTTTATTCCAACTTTTACTGTTAATGTCTTGTCCGTGGATTATGGAATAGGGCCTGGCAACCTGTCAGGCACAGACTGGCACCCAGGTTTTTTTGTATTCCTGGTCTTAGGATCAATGTGAGCAAACCCCACTGATACACAGGATTAGGTGCTGAGGGTACAGGGCCAAGGGGTGGGGTGGGGGGGGGTGAAGGCCCCACAGGAAACCCTGCCCTGCCACGCCCCTGTCACGCCCCTGTCACGGAACTCATCCCAAAACAATGAGAACGAGGAACAAAAAGCAAACCAGAAAGGAAGTAAAACCCAGACCCAAGACCTGGCAGGGCTATAGGGAGCCATGGAGATGGAGATGGGGAGGCAGAGATGGAGACCGAAGAGAAAATGGGTCTCAAAAGAGACAGCAAAAAGCACTTTCCAAGGTCACTTGAAACGCAGAATCTAAATTCCTCATCTACACTGGCAAGATGAGTGGGCACAGCACAGCAACGGCATACTCAGTGTGGCAGTCTTCCCGTGGCTGAGGCAGGCTCTCAGGAAGTGAGGTTAGCACCTGAGACCCAGGACCAGAGCTTGATTTGCGTCTGCGGGCCTGTGGCAACAAGATGGAGACGCTGTGCAGACAGCGGCTATCAAGCTTGGTAACCAGTGGACAAGTCCCTGTGACAAGGTGCAACGTAAGATGAGGAAAAGGCTAAGCCAAAGCCACGGTGTGCAGGGACGCTAGGGAGTGAGGAAGGACCACGGGGGCCTGTGAAGGAACATGCAAGGGTTGGGGGGCAGCAGACAAGCCCCAGAGACGTGCAGGCAGGCACACAGATCTCACTGGGTGCAAACCGAGCATGCTAGAGCAGTGGGGTGATCAGAACACAGTGCCTGGAAGTAAGAAGGTGCCATCCTCCTCCTCCAGGAAACTAAGGGACCCAGCCAAGTCCGACGGAAGGGAGGAGAGCACTATGGTGAGGAGGGGCTGGGCCTGATGGACAGAGGAGGGAGAGGAAGGAGAAGGGAGAAGGGCAGAAGGCAAGGTGCCCAGGGATGAAGACCAGAGCAAGGGGGCGTCAGGAGCTGACAGGCGCCAGGCTGTGGCTGATGCGTGGTGCACATGTGTGACCACATGTGGTGTAACAGTGTGGGTGGGTGGATGATGAGCCAACAGTATTCCAGGAATAAAGAAGAGTGACTGGGAAAGATGGGAACAAGGACAAGGAAGCACAGAGAGCCAAAAACTCGTTTCTTACAAGTGTTTTCATGGGAACACAAAGCTGCTGGGATCTTGCTGTGGGGAGAGAAGCGGCGAGTGATCCGGCTGGGCCTGTGCTTCAGTTGGTGTGAGCACGGGGCTGGCCAAGTGGGCAGTGAGGGCCCTGGGAGAGGGGGGCAGGGAGGGCCATCTGCAGATGCTGGGGAGGAGGGTGTGGCTCAGAGCTCCCTCACAGCAAGGAGAGACTTGCTGTGGGAGGAAGGGCTGGGCCTGGTGGAGGAAAAACTGCCCGGTGATCCTCAAGAAGTGACTTACAGGTCCTATGAAGAAAGTCCTTACAGGAAAGCCTCCTGTCTGGGCCCACAAAAGGCCCCCGTCACTCCCATACCCTGCCTGACTCTGAAATACCAAATGGGCCTGTTTCTAGACATCTGGTCTCCAAAAATACATATTTGGTGCTGGGAAGATTCCGCATCCTGACAAAATGTGAATTTCTGCTCCTGGAATACATGGCCACAAAATCCAGAAGGATCCGGGCCCAGTGCCTCCAGCCAAGGCTGCAGCCCACTCCTCATCCACAACCCCCTGCACTTCCCCAAGGGTCTGGCTTCAGCCATGGGACTAGAGAGCAGGCACAGAGGCCTCACTGGTCCACCCATGCTCAGGACCCCTGGCCAGGAATAACCACCATCTCTAGGCTGAGACTGTCGGTTGGAAGGGACAGTGCTGCCTGGAGCTTCACAGAAACACCCCTTCTCTATCAGCTCCAGGCACCTCAGACACCAGACGTGGCCTTACCTAGACAAGGATGGGGCAGAGGTGCCTGGAGACATCAGAGCCCCTAGGGCTGGGGGAAGGACTGACCACAGGTGGCCGCGTCCAGGATTCCTAGCTCCTTTGCTCAGACCTGGCTCTGTTGGCACCTCTAGCACCTGGAGTGGCAGAGGGTGCTGGGCCTTGGTTTCCCCAAAGGAAAGGGTCCCATGTCTGCATGGGACCAGCAACATGGGACAGCCAACATGACCTCACTGGGCCAGAAGCAGCCATGGGCTCCCAGCCACACAGGAAGAAGATTCCTAAGCCACGATCATCGTTCCAAAGGAGTATTTTGTAGGAAGGTCCTCTGGAGCCCAGGACACCAAGTAGAGGAAGATGCTGGTTGCCCTGTGCACCCACAGACGCCAGCTCCCACTGGTTCACGTCCTTGCCCTCGACAGAAGGTAGGAGAGGATGAAGAAGACCACGATGAGTCCCAAGGCCATACCGCACAGAAGCTTCCGGTTGTCTCGCCCAGATCGCGCCATTGTGGAAAAGCGCTTCACACTCCCCGTGAGCAGGCCCGTCATGCTTGTAAAATCCGAGTCCTGAGGGAGGAATCCCAGCACGATCACACAGGGGTGGACCCTCCAAGACCCACAGGAGAGTGCTGCAGGAGACACTGGGGACCTATATAGCAGGCAGTGTGGGGCAGAGCTGACCGAAACACTCACGCACGCTGCAGACCCTTACCATGCCATCCAGGTACCGGTTCTGGTCCTCTGCATCCCTATCGATGTCCAGGGCAAGCTGATCAGGACACAGAGGGGGCAGGGTCAGGCCAGGGAAGACACTGGATGGTGCTTGACCCTCCATGAGACCAGCAGACCCAACCAACGATTCTGCCAGACACTGTACCACCAGCAGAGATCAGGAGGTCCAGGTATCACCTGGGCCTCACACAAGAGAGTGCTGCCACGGATGGGACATGGAAGATGAGAACTACATGAAACCCTTCCAAGCCTCTACCCTCCCTCTGATCCCTGCTCCAAGGTGCCAGGTGGAGGTGAAACAGGAAGACCACCACTGACCGATTTGAGCCTGGTGACCTTGGAGGCCAGGCTGTCGGCCATTCGCTTGTTCTCCCGGTCTAGAATCTCCTCCACAGCGCCAGGGCTCTGAGCTGCAAGGAGAAAGAGAGGCTGAGGGGTGCATCCACCCATGACCACCGCCCTTGACCCCTGGATGTCAGCCCTTCGTGGCCTCAGGACTCTCTCACTACAATCCCATATAGCTGAGTCGGAATCTGGCGGGACTAGGCCCACCTGTGTCTGATGAACAAGTCCAGCCCTAACCCAGGATCCGGTGTAGGGACTTCACACACACGTGAGACAGGCTGTGTCAACAACAGCGTGTGCGGGCACCCATCACGTGACCACATGTCCTGTGTACACATCCAGGACAGGGTAGACAGGCATCCCCAACATGTACAGCCTCAAAGGATCAGCCCAACCGGCACTTTCTGATACTGACAGAAGCTGCACCATCCCTCCACAGACGTCACTATCAGCGTACAAGAGACCTGTTCCCAGAGAAAAACAGTAAACTCTGGTATGGACCAAGGAAAGACTGGTGGGGGGGGGGGGGGCAGCAGGAAGACCCCTGCAGGGACGACCTGTGAACTCGGTCCTCAAGAGGTGACAGGTCACCAGGGAGGAGACAACTGAGCACAGCTCCCCAACACCCAAAAACGGGGGCGCTGAGGTCGATCCCGAGGGCAGGGCCTGGGCCTGCTCACCTTGCACTCCACCCAGGGCCTTATATGACACCGAGCACAGTGCTTGCTAAGACCGGTCCCATGACTAGGGAGCGGCCAGGCGGTTCGGCATTACTGTCACATCAGGTGGATGAGAACCGCGTCCCCCCAGTTCCGAGTGCAAACTTGCCCCGGGCCGGATGCCTCCACGTGACCCATCTAATGGGGGCGCAGCTCTAGGAACCACAGATGTATACAGACACCAAAGGAAGGAGTGTTGGCGTTCTACCAACCCCCTCACGTTCATTAACTTCTCAACGGTCACAACAGCCCGGCGAGACAGGCATCAGCATCCCACATCGCAGACGAGAACACAGGCTCCCAGAGGGCGAAGGGGCTGCCCTCCCACCACGCAGCCTCCCTCCTAGGGGCTGGCCTCCGCGACCGTGCGGCCGGCCGGGGTGCCGGCAGAACCATCTGACAGGGACAGAGGGGTACGAACTCCGGACAGCCGGGCCCCGCGACGCAGGGACCCCACGACCCGCCCACAGCGCAGCCGCCAGCGCCCGCAGGGCCTCCCCGCCGAGACCACCCAGCGCGCTGGGCCGCGCGGACGCAGCTCTTGCACGCAGCGGCGTCGATTACGGCCGGCCCCGACGCCATCCGGCTCTGCTCTCCCGCGCTCACCGCGAGCCCAGTCCGCCATCGTGCCGGCTCCGCGCCCTGGCTCTGTCGCCTACCCGGCCCCCGCCGCGGCGGACGTGGCGCAGCCGCGGGAACGAGCTTCCGGCGTCGCCGCTTCCGCCTTGGCCCCGCCTACTTCCGGCGGAGGCCACCGCCCCCTCCGCCGCGCGCCCGCCGACTTCCGGCGGAGGCTCCGGCTGCGGGGCGCAGGGCGGGGACGGCAGTGGCCTGATGTTGGTTCCTCCGCCTGACTCGGACCGCCTAGGATTAGCGTTTTTAACGCCAGCTCCGGTGTCCAGACGCCTCTATCAGCCACGCCTCCGGGACGGCGTCAGGCCCGAAGTGGGAGGAGCTCGCGGGCCCTCTCCCGGGCGACGGGCGGGGCTGGGCGCGCCGAGGGGCCGGCCCCGAGGTACCCCGGCCCGCCGGGCTGCGGCGCGGTGACTGCTGGCGGACCAGGTGGTGCTCGGGGCCCGGGACGCCCCCGACGAGGACGGGGAGCCGGACAGGGGGTGGGGCTGCTGCCTGTGCGCTGGCGCCGACCCCCGACCCAGGGCCCGGCCGAGTGGACGCTCGACCGGCGCCTGTTGCAGGGCAAGTCGCCCGCCACTGCGGGGGCATCCGCTGTATTACTGAGTTCTCCCGACAACCCACTGGAAGGGCGACTTTGGTTTTCTCTGCTCTTCGAGAAAGAGGCCTGAGTCCAGGCCGACCGTGTGTCTGGGTTGCGCAGCGAGGAGCCGCCGCGCACTGTCGAGCTCTGCCCTCCTCCTGACCCTGACCGTAAGCCTTCCTCAGCCCCAACGAGGTCCGTTTCTCTCCCACCTGGCCGTTCCCCCGTGCCTTGAATGCCCGTCCCCAGATCTTCCTGGCTCCCCTCTCGTCCGGCACCTCAGACCTCTCTGCAGCCCAGCAGCCTCTCCTCTTCCAGTCACGGCACCGCCTGCCTAAAGTCGTCCTTGTTTGTCCTCGCCTTGGGAACATAAGGTCCGCGAAGGCAGGGTCCGCGGGTCCTGTTCGCCCGCATCACGGCGCCTCGCGTGTAGTAGGCGCCCAAACGCACGTTTAACAAACCAAGTGGTGCGGGGGCTGGCAGCCCTTCCCACCGTGGCTGTACCCGCGACATCCTGTCCGTCCTGTGCATCAAGAGGGGCGGGGGGTGGGGCTGAGGTCGTCTCCGCCAGGAATTCCTGCCCGAGAATTCCCGAGGGTCACTCTTCGGTTCGGGGGCGTCTCGGGACCTGAGGTCGGACGATCACCGAGTCGGATCTTGAAGCCCGGGCGCAAAGCCTTCACGCTCTAGGAGGCTGTTCCAAGTCTCGCCACCTTAAAGCGCGCCACCTTAAGGCGCGCGCTGCCCCGTCCCGGCCTGCCCCGCGCGCTGCGCACGTCCCGTCCCGGCCTCCCCCGCGCGCGGAGCCAGGGTGGGGCCGGCGGATTCAGGCCCGGGGCTGCGGAGCCACGTCCCGCCTTCCGGGCGCCAGGTGCTGGAGACGCCATGGAGCCCCGGGCGGTGGCCGATGCCGTGCAAACGGGGGAAGAGAACATGGTTATGGGGGCTCTGCTCGCTTACAACCGGGAGGTGAGCGGGAGTCGTGGGGCGCGCAAGGAGGCGATGGGCCGGGTGGGCGCGGCCGGCGGAGGGGTGGGTGACTGCGGCGGGGGCCGAGGGTGGAAGGGAGCGGCAGGAAGGGGCGCCGAGCCTACGAGGAGTCGCTGGGGGGAGTCACGTGCGCACCTGGGGGCAGGTGTGCGGGGCGCCATCTGTTCGGAGCGGCGCCTGCAGCCTCGGGCCTCATCTCGGAGGCCGGGATCTGCCCGTGCGGACCTGCGCTCCATGAGCCCCTGGGTTTCCCTGCAGAACTCCCAGAGCTTCACATTCGATGACGCCCAGCAGGAGGACAGGAAGGTGGGTGCTGACCGAGGGGTAAGGGGCAGAGACGGGGGCCCCGGGTCGGGGAGCCTGGTGGAGCCGCTCTACTCCCCACCCACAGAGACTGGCGGAGCTGTTGGCGTCGGTCCTGGAGCAGGGCTTGCCACCGTCCCGCCGCGTCACCTGGCTGCAGAGCATCCGCATCCTGTCCAGGGACCGCAGCTGCCTGGACCCATTTACCAGCCGCCAGAGCTTGCAGGCATTTGCCTGCTATGCTGGGATCTCCGCCTCCGGGGGCTCGGTCCCCGAGCCCCTGGACATGGACGTTGTCCTCGAGTCCCTCAAGTGCCTGTGCAACCTCGTGCTCAGCAGCCCGGTGGCACAGGTGCTGGCAGCAGAGGCTCGCCTGGTGGTGAGACTCGCAGAGCGCGTAGGGCTGTACCGCAAGAGCAGCTTTCCACACGACGTCCAGTTCTTTGATTTGCGCCTTCTTTTCTTGCTAACTGCGCTTCGCACCGACGTGCGCCTGCAGCTGTTTCAGGAGCTGCGGGGAGTGCACCTGCTGACAGATGCGCTGGAGCTGACCCTGGGAATGAGCCCGGAAGAGAGCCCCCCTGCGCTCCTTCCTCCCCAGGAGACTGAGCGGGCCATGGAAATTCTCAAAGTGCTTTTCAACATTACTTTCGACTCCATAAAGAGAGAGGTGGACCAGGTAAGAAGAGAGCTGATCTGAACCCGTGGGTGGGGCTTAACAGCTTGAATGTTTCCTGGATCTGCTTCCCTGTTGGGTGCCTTCAAGTTTCAGGGTGTTAGGCTCAGAGAAGACTGGAGGAGGCGAGGAGACGCCTGGGTAGGGGCCCCAAGGAAGGTTTCTGAGGGAGGTGGAGAGCACATTTGGCTTTTGGAGCCTGGCAGGAGAGCTGTGTGATACATGGGGACGGTGTAGGAGATTCCCAATCACGAGGCTGTGAGCATGGGGTCAGAACACAGAGTGTGACTTAATCCCAAGGGGATCTGTTGACGTTCTTAATCAGGAGAGGGCTTTTCAGGTTATGTAGGAGAGGCGGAGGGGCCAGGTGTGCAGTGGGGGAGATGTGTAATCGGTGCACTTGGTCCTGGAGTGGGGCAGACGGTGGAACCTCAGCTGGCAGCAGGGGGACAAGTGGGGCTCTCTCTCACAGGAACCTCTTACTCTTTGGTCAGGAAGATGCTGCCCTTTACCAGCACCTGGGAACCCTTTTGCGGCACTGTGTGATGATCACTGCTGCTGGAGACCGTACAGAGGAGTTCCACGGGTGAGGGTGGGGCCTGTTGTGTTGGGAGGGAAGTGTGCTCACATGTCTAGATGGTGGTTGCCAGCCATGGTTGTGGACCAGGCTCCACCCTAGCGAGTCTTCACCCATCTGGGTGGGACTAGACATCAGTGCGTTTCCAGAGAGCTCTGGCACTTAGAGTACATGGCTAGGACGAGAGCCACGAGTCTGGGAACAGGAGTGTGCCCCAGGACCTTAGGCAGGGGCAGTGGATGGTGTAGTATCTACAGGGCAGTGTAGGTTCCTCACTCCTGTTCTCGGTGACCTGTGCCTGGAGGCAGGTCTTGGTTTTCCAGAGGTTGTCTGTGGTGCTTCAACCCAGACAGAGGGTCACAGGTGAGGTGTTTGCAGAAGAGTGCCCCCCTCCTCGGGGACCCACTCCACTGAGCAGGAGTGCCCCCTGAGAGCAGTCCTCTCCTCAGCTCGGGCCCCTTGTGCTGCTCCTTAGGCCCCTGGACACTGGCTCATGTCACATGTGGCCCCAGCAGGAGGTACCAAGGGTTGTGCCTGTGCTGGGGGATTGGATTCACCAAGCTCCTCTCCCCGTCTGTCCTCAGGCACACGGTGAACCTCCTGGGGAACTTGCCTCTCAAGTGTCTGGACGTCCTCCTCACCCTGGAGCCACATGAAGGCTCCCTGGAATTCCTGGGAGTGAACATGGATGTGATTCGTGTCCTCCTTAGCTTCCTGGAGAAGCGTCTGCATCAGGTAGGCAGAGGGGACTTGCTGTGTGGGCTCCCCAATGGCTCTGGCTTTGGCTTTCCTGAGCAGCTGTGGTCACTGCTTTTGTGCCGTCCACGTTAGTAAGTGGAGATTAGCTCGCCGGTATGATTCAGGTGATTCTCCAGCTGCTCTGTGGTCCAGCCAGGCAGGAAGCCAGACCCGTCCTCCCTGAGAAGCATGTGGACACTCCTACACACACACTTGAAGGTTTCACTTCTGGTTACTACAAGGAAACAAGTTTTCAGAGTCTGCTTTTTAGATTTCTTTATGGATCTCTGGCATGGTGTTGAGAAGCCCCCAGTCCCTGCTTGTGATCTTAGACTCTTAGTGTTTCTGTGCACGGGCAGCCCTTGGTGACGAGCATTGGTTGTCCCTAGACGTCCCTGAGGGGACCCACAGGGACCTCGAGCCAGAGGCTTCCTGATTCCTGCGACTGCACCATAGGATATTGGCCGTCCAGGGCTCTGAAGAGCCCCTGTGGGAGTTTGCAGACATCATGCAGGCTAAAGAGTGCAATGGACTGAGACTCAGTAGACCCTTCAGGGATCCCCATTACCCAGGTGTGCTGTGAGCTGGGGCACACACATCTGGAGCTGGGCACACTGGCCATGACTATCTGTCCCTACCACTACTACTGCTGGTGTTGGGGTGCAGGGAGGTTAACTGGGGGGAGGCTGGGGAGGGACAGGAGCTCCCGGCTCTCTTGGTCTGTGAAACCCACAGAGTAGGGATTTTGTTCTTGTTTTTTTTTGGCCAGTATTTTTCAAGAGCACCTTAGATGCCTGTGGTGTGCTAACAGCTATAAAACGTCTGTGTTTTCCTCACAACCCTGGTTACAGGTGAGGAAGCTAGACTCGAAGCAGTTATTTGCCCCAAGTCACAGAGCACAAGAGTGGCCTCCTGAGTCAGGTTCCAGCCCCGCCCCTCTCAAAGCTCACACAGACACTCACTGCCCGCCCTTGGCTCCTCAGCTGACTAACTGTGGCAGGGTCTCTTCCCAAGTTCCTCCTGCCAGGACGGTCTGGAGCACGTGTGTAGCCCCTGGGCCTCAACTCAGGTGGGGGCCCAGCCCCGGTGACAGAGGCTTCTCTGCAGACGCATAGGCTGAAAGAGAGCGTGGCTCCTGTGCTGAGTGTGCTGACAGAGTGTGCCCGCATGCACCGCCCCGCCAGGAAGTTCCTGAAGGCCCAGGTACAGGGCAGAGGGGTCAGGGCTGGGCTCTGTTCACAGACCCCAGCCGCTCCAGGCCCAGGCTGAGGGATGCCGCCTCCCCAGGTGCTGCCCCCACTGCGGGACGTGAGGACCCGGCCCGAGGTGGGGGAGCTGTTACGGAACAAGCTCGTTCGCCTCATGACACACCTGGACACCGACGTGAAGAGGGTGGCAGCTGAGTTCCTCTTCGTCCTGTGCTCGGAGAGCGGTGAGTGGGGGGCCCAGCCCCACGCCTGCCCCTCCCCAGCCACATTCGCACACTGACCTCTGCCCTGGCCCTCAGTGCCCCGGTTCATCAAGTACACAGGCTACGGGAACGCCGCTGGTCTCCTGGCTGCCAGGGGCCTCATGGCCGGGGGCCGGCGTGAGGGCCAGTACTCAGAGGACGAGGACACGGACACAGACGAGTATAAGGAAGCCAAGGCCAGGTGTGGTGTGTGCCCCCCTCCGCCCTCAGGCTCCCCTCAGTTCACCCCAATCCCTGTTCCCATACTGTCTGGACCCGTGGGGTGGGTGGGACAGGATGACAAATGCATAAGACTTTTGGGAATCAGTTGCCTGTTCCTACATGATGTGTGTCCTGCTGTCAGATGTTTTGTTGAGACTGCAGAGGCTGAAGGGGCCTGGCAGTCTGGGACCAGGGACAGGAGCTGGTTGCCTGCTGGTCCTGGAGGGAAGTCAATTCGTGCAGTTGCCTCACCTCTCCCTGCCCCCAGGAGAGTGGGTTTTTTGCCAGTCCAGGCACAAGCAGGAAGGTGTGGGACTCCACCCACCCCAGGCAGCCCCCTCCTGTCTTGGAGAGTCACTAATGCATACCCCACGCCCCTCTCCTGGGAAGCAGCATAAACCCAGTGACCGGGAGGGTGGAGGAAAAGCCACCAAACCCCATGGAGGGCATGACGGAGGAGCAGAAGGAGCATGAGGCCATGAAGCTGGTGAACATGTTTGACAAGCTCTCCAGGTGCGTGGTGTGGCAAGGAGGGGCCCGTGGCCAGGAGAAGGGACAATGGACCCATGTCCTGTCTTGTGAGCCCCAGAGGTGGAGTCAGAGGAGGGCTTAGGATTCAGGCAAGGTTGCGTTATTAACGCTTGAAATCACCGATCCTGGAGAAAATCCCCCAGGGAAAGGTTAGGGTTGTGATCAGTATTATGTCCATTTTACAGATGATGGAAACTAAGGCCCAGAGAAATTAAGAGACTGCCTAAGGTCTCAAAGCCCCTAGGTGGCAGTTAGGATTCAGGCCTAGTTGACACAAGCTCCCACTACTCAGGCGTCCCCAGTAAACAGGAGCAGCTTGGTGGAGCAGAAGGTAGCAGCCAGGGGTGAGCAGGACCCCAGCCCCACCACACCTTTCCCCCACAGGCACAGAGTCATCCAGCCCATGGGGATGAGTCCCCAGGGTCAGCTGACGTCCCTGCAGGATGCCATGTGCCAGACCATGGAGGGGCAGCTCTCCTCAGACCCCGACTCGGACCCCGATTGAGAACAGCCACTGTTCTACTCCCCCTTCAGAACTGGTGCTGCTTCCAGACATGTCCATGCGGCTGTGACTGGGGGAAGCCACAGCCCTCTCTCCACCTTCTCCTTACTCCCAAAGTCCTGTTCACAATTTGCCTCTGGTCCAGTTTCTTACCTCTAGGACTGCGAGGGTCTTGTCCTGCTACAGCTCTGGGAACTCGGCCTTGATTTTCACAAACGAAGTGGTTTGTTTTATGTGCGCAGGGGCTGCTGCCTGAGGGCAGAGCTACCTGGATGCACAAAGGAGCGGGAGGCTGAGGGCTGAGCCTGGGTGCGTGCAGACGCAAGCACTTCCACAGCTGGCCCAGAACCGGTGTGTTGGGCAAGCGCTACCTTTCACAGGGGAAAAGAACCTGCTAGAACTTTATATAGCAGTGTCAGAAACAGACTTCCACAGTATGCTCTGCTCACTCTTTGCCCACTGAGCACAGGGTGGGTGGGCTCTTGTGCATTCTTGGTCCTGGCTCAGCCACCTGCTGTAGTGTCCACAGCACCCGAGTTCTCACCAGTGGTGACAGGTGAATCTTGAGCCTTCCCACTGGCTTAGAGCATAAATACACGAAGGAAAACGCCCCTTGTGAAACCATAAAATCTAGACTTCTATCATGTGCCACAAAGTGTCTCAGAAACATCATCCTGAAATAAAGAGTTTCAGGCAAGAGTGTGTGTGTGTGTGTGTGAATATATGTGTAAAATATCAAGTAAAGGCACATTAAGTAGAAATAGGAACTAATTTCATTCTTTTCAGAATTCAATACTTTTGTCTTGTTGTCCTTGAGGAGTGAAGCCACCAGACCCCCTTCTGAAGAGTGTCAAATTTGCTCTCAGTGAGCTCCAGGGGTCCAGTGGGGAAACAAGATGCTAGGAAGGAGGAAGCACACATGGGGTAGGAGCCAGGCATCAGGAAGGTGTGCCTGGAGGTGCCATCCACACTAGGCCTTGGGCAACCCCAGCAGAAGGAGCCTGTTCAGGAGTAGGAAGCTCACAGCAGGTTCTGCCTAAACGGTAGTGTTGCCTGAGCACGGGTCAGGGAGCCCGGCAGGCAGCCAGGAGCCAGCCACGGTTTGTGAGTGAGTAATGCCTTCTGTGTCTTAGAGTTCATTCCAGCAATGTTACTGGAAGAAGGCCTGGTAGGGGAGACTGGGGACAAGGGGATGGTTAGAAAGCTGCTGGAAGTCTGGAACAGATGAATTTCTGGGGGAGAGGTTGATGTGAAACGCATCCAGGTAGAGTGAACATGATGTGAAGGGTGCCGGGGGCTCTCAGCTGGAAGAGAGGGCGCGAGGGCCATCTCCAGAGTGAATCTGGGGACAAATGTTCTCAGTCCTTGGATTATTCCAGTAGAGGAGAAACACCTACGCACCACCAAGGTCCCCTTTCCACATTCACTGTCAACACGTGCAGTCCCTTGGAGGAGACAAAAGGAAGGGATGCCCAATTCCTATGTTAAAATTTATTCCATGCCAGAAATGGAGAAGGAGCTTTCTCTTAATAATTAAAAAGAACCATTCCAAGGCGGCCAAGATGCTAGAAGACCTTAGTGCATTATTTGGGACCCAGGCCCACACTTTGGGACGTTAACTGGGGCCACTCAGCCCAAGACTGGGTCTTGCTAACGGACAGAGATGCTGAGCCTGCCCTTGAGATGGAGCCGTGGACACAGGAGAAGCAGATCCGGTCTGGGATTGCAGTCAGTCTGAGTTCAAAAGGGTCAGAAAGCTTTTGGCATTAAGAGCTCAAGCAGCATGAAGAGTTAACCACAGCAAAAAGGCAGCTCCTTTGCATCTGTGAGGGGGGCGTCTCTTGAGTCTAAACATGACCCTACCTGTCAGCACAGTGCTGACAACCTGGGAAGACCTCCCGGAAAGACCTCCCATGTGTTGGTTCAGCCAATGGTAAACCTGCCCACGCTGTTCTTCAGGCATGAGGTCTCCCAGAAATGGGCTGTGACTCCCGTGAAACCATTTCTGCTATGTGGGGCAGCCGTCATCCTCCTATCTGTCCTGTCCATCGAGCTGGAACACAAAGGAGAGAGGGAATCAGTTATCCAAAAACACACCTGGGCCTGCTGGGCAGGCCAGCAGATCTCAGGGCCTGGGCGCAATTTTACAAAACGGAAGCTTTTCTGCCTCTTTGCAAATGCTGCCGTTGGGCCAAGTTAAGAGGATGTCAGCAGGGCTGGGCAAAACTGGGTGGCTAAATGGAGGGCCTCGTTTAAGTAGCCGATCAAGATGTATGAAGGTCAGGTGCTGAAGAACATTCACTATGGAAAAGTAACTCAGGTTAGACTGCAATTCATCCCTCAGTGTTTACTCTTGGATAGCAACTCTTTTTAAATAAATAAACCCCTAAAATTATAACCCACTTGACATAAATTTCTGTGAAACTAGAAAACAGCACAAGTCGAACCCTATAGGACTACTTCCAAAAATCCCTAGGGGCCACTTGACTCAGTCTTGCTGTTGAATGGAAACAGGAAGTCAGAGGCAGGAGAAGGCTCCCATGCATGCTGCCAGGCAGATCTGACCAGGATCTCTACTGCCCCGTGAGAGGCCCCTGCTGCCATTTCTCTCAACGTGGAAAGTGTCAGCTTCGGTGTTAACTGGATTCTCTGCTTCCATAAAGTGACTCAGTAACACGATTCTGACATTTGATGGTCTTTATTTACCCCCATGTGAGATGAGAAATGGCACCAACCTACATCTTAGCCCTAAGAGCCAAACTCTGGAATGAAAGGCTAGAAATAAGAGTGGCAACGTTGTCTAATACCTGTGGAAACGGTAAATGCGAAGTCTCATCTCCTTGATAAGCTTCGTATTCTTTTTGGTTCGATTGGTAAGAAATCAGGCTGTGGCCGGAGGCTGGGGGCTGTTGCCAGTGGAGGCGAGAGGGAAGGGCCCTGAGGCAGCCACAGCTGAAGGGTGGGGGTTTCCCAAGACGTCTGCCTTGGGGCAACAAGACCCTCAATTCCGGCTTCTGGTGAAATCCCCTTTGGGCAGTGTTATACCTGCTTGTAATCACCATGATCCTCTGAGACAACTGGACTTCCAGAGCTTAGTGCTGCCTCCTATAGAAAAGAACCCCCCACGTCACAGGTGCACATGCTAACTGATTCTCCTGGGAAACCGCATTTTCTGTAACTTCACTTGTTTATGGGAGGTTTGAAATCCAGAGAGCATCAAGGCTCTTTGGCTTTCTACTCTCCACGGATTGTAACAGGTCACATTGATTATTTCCTAAAAGCATCCCTGGTGTGGGCTTCGTCCCACACAGGCACAAAGAACTTCAGCTTCTCAAAGTTCCTGAACCTGTATCACCTCAGAATCATGCCTTGGCCTCGAGCTGTTCGGTGCTGCCTTATTTTAGGGAACATAAGGCACCTGCTGAAGTGTGGTAAGAGTGCAGGCTCCCACAGCCCAGCCTGCCTGGACTCGCATCCCTGCTCCGCGGCTGACCACAGGCACTGAGTGTCGGTTTCTGCATCTCTAGATCAGGTACTAAGAATCGCAACACCCAATTCATAAGCACACAGACAGCCAGACAGTGCCTGGTGCAGGATCAACAGCCAATATTAGCTAACCCTGCTGCTGTTTTAGCCAAACAGCTCCACACCAAATGTGCACCAAGTGGACGCAGACCCCAGGGCAGTGAAGAAAGCAGCCCCTCGATGACCATGCTCAGCAGCCTGTACCTTTCCAGTTTCCTGCTGGATGAGGTCCTGCATCTCTTCCGTCCAGCCAAGAAGCTCCACCAGCCTTTCCACGCCATGGACCACGTCCCCCAGCTGGACGACATCCCTGCTGCGAGGACGCCAAGCCAAGGGCCCCACCAGGTCCCGGTTAATGAGCAGTCGGGGCACCGAGCTCCGCACGGCCTCGCACAAGCTGGCAAAAGGTTCCACCTGAAAAGACGTGAGGAGCACAGTGTCTACCCTCCGAGCCCCTCAGGACACTTCGTGCACAGCCTCTGAGGCCTCAGACGGACAGCACAGACTGACAGTGAGACCTTGGACACAGGAAAACACACCATCCACTTTATTTCTCCCAGTTGCCTTCCTGCTCTTTGGTTTCCATGCCTTTGTTTCCTCCTCCCCTGAGCCTCCCTCTCAGCCTCATCCAGCTTCTGTGGGTGTTCCTGCTCAGGCACATCTGGGTTTGATCCCAGCAGTTACACACAATCTCACCTGTCCTCCACCACACACCATCTTCTCCTAGCACGCCACTGACAACAACACGTCTCGTCTGTCTGCTCTCACTCCGAGAGCAAGGACCTGGTCCCACACAGAGCGGCCACCACCGAGGGCTGATGGCAGTGGTCCCACCTCTCCACAGCCCTCACCATCTGGACCTCCAAAGAGACCTAACACAGGGGCTTTGGGCTTCTTCATCCAGCTCTCAAATGAAATTTTCATTCAAGAGTAATAACATAAATGGATAGATTAATAAATGGTATTGAGACTGGCTCATTATCTGGGAGGAAAATGTTCAATTCCTGCCTTTCACTGAAAAAATTTCAAATGGATTAAAGATTTACATGTAAACAAAACAGTTCTTGAAGAAAATTTAGGGTTTATAAGTAAAGCTACGGAAGGACTCTTTAGGCATAATAGCTGAAGTCAGATAAAAAGAGGGAAAATAAGACAGATTTGACTACGTGATACTATCACATCATTATCTACATAAAACTCCTATGTAGAAAAACAATTTTTTAAACCTCATCACCATAAACAAAATGCAAAAATACCTATAACGTGACAAAAATTTTATATTGTTAATTGATTAGCTAATTTATAAACATTTTACATAATTTATGAATTTATATTGCTAATTTATGAACAGAAAAAAAAAACCAATGAAAAATAGGCAAGAGATACAAATACGCAGAGAGAAGAGATACAGTGGTCAATAAACATGAGAAGATGAATGTCACTGTTCATTACAGAAACGCAAAACCTCTCTCTCACACTCACACTCACACACACACACACACACACACATTTATTTATTTACTTTTAACCAATCAGACTGGTAAAAACTTAAAGACAGGTAACATTTGGTATTGGTGAGGACGTGGGAAAATGGCCGCTCATATACTGTTGGCGGGAATGTAATATGTATCTTTCTGGAAAGCAAGTTCTCAATATTTATTTACTACAGAAGTACATGTGTGAGTGTGTAAAAATGCATATGGATATTCACTACAACATTATTTTAATATAAAACTGTATACTATTTATTTTTGCTGTTCATCAATAGGATATTGCTTAAACAAATTTTGTTATAGATCCATAATCCCTTATCTTAAAACTCTTGGGGCTGGATGTGTTTCAGAATTCAGAATATTTCAGATTTTAGAAAAGACCACATGGTTGATACCATGTATTATGTCACACCTCAGTGAGATCCAGAGCGCTCCATAATCAAGCACAGTAATATTTCTTCCACGCAGCATATGAGACAGATCAAATCCGTGAACAACACAACAGATTCTGAGTGCTAGTGGCTCCATGCTTAGAGATGAGCACTCTGCTTTTGGGGTCTCCAGCTGGGACCTCATATCCGTATCTATAAGGGACACTGTAGGCACTTACAAGGTAGGTCTCTGTGCACAGTGCTGTCCCACTTCTGGTTAAAGATCACCACACCTGTATGTGTACATACTTGTACAGAGGAGAAGCCTGAGAGGACACAGAGCAAAATGCTAACAGTGCTGGTGGGATTGAAGTAGATTCTTTGTTCTCTATCTTTATATAATGTATGAATTTTTTTAAAGCAAGCATATGGTACTTTTATAATCAGAAAAAAAAGGCCATTTTCATTTCACTTAAAAAATAAAGAGGGGACTGGCCTGGTGGTGCAGCGGTTAAGTGTGCATGCTCTGCTTCGACGGCCCGGGGTTTGAAGGTTTGGATCCCGGGTGCGCACCAACACACCGCTTGTCAAGCCATGCTGTGGCGGCGTCCCATATAAAAAGTAGAGGAAGATGTGTGCAGATGTTAGCCCAGGGCCAATCTTCCTCAGCAAAAAGAGGAGGATTGGCATCAGATGTTAGCTCAGGGCTGATCTTCCTCACAAAAAATATATAAATAAATAAAGAGGGCTGATGGCCCCATTGTCCACACAGTGGCCAGCACAGGTCAGCAAAGCTCAGCACCACATACCACTGATGACCACTGGCCCCTCTGCTTTCCCCTCTCGTGTCCCTCTGTCCAGGCCCAGTGTGCGGACCCCCAGATCTGTCCACACTCTGGGCTCTTCTATCTGCTCACTCTGGCACCCCAGTTCCTACCTCTGCTCCTTCCTGGACTCCAGACTCGAGAATCCACCTGCCTGCTCCACACGTCCACTCAACAGCCCAACACACTCCTCAAATCAGTGTGACCAAGGCCGAATTCCCCCAAACCACCACTATGCTTCTCTGTCTCAGGAAATCAGCTCCATCCTTGCAGCTGCTCAGTCACAACCCTGGAGTCCTGTAGGCATCCACACTTTCCCATGGACTCTACCTTCACATCGGCCTGGGCTCCAATGCTCTCTGCTGGCTGCACCTGGCCACCCACCATCGCCACCAGGATCACCACCTGCAAGGGCCTCTACTGGCTCTCCCTGCTCGCATGCTTGTCTCTATTCACCACACAGCACCTAGAAGGACAGGAAATCAGACCATCCTCACTGCCGCCTTTGCCTCACGTGCTCCATGTGGCCCAGCGCCGTGTCTGTCTCCTGCCAGACATCTGCTTAGCTATGGGTAATGAATAAAGAAACCTCAACTAAACTGGATGGGGAAGGCCTGCAGGGAGAGCTCTCATCCGCATCACACATCACACCAAACAGGAAGAAAGGGACATTTGCATCTCCACAGGAAGTACAACTACTTTCCTAACAAAGGAAGATTTCTCTCCCCACCTGGCAACAGTCCAGCCAATGAGAAACACCACAGATCAGCCAATAAGAAATGCCGCAGCCCAGCCAATGAGAAGCTGTTGCCACCCTGAACTGTCACTCTCCCCCAATGGACTTTCCTTTAGAACAGCCCCTCCCTCTCCCCCCCCCTTCTCTATAAAAGCAGCTCCTCTCCTTTGTTCTCTGGATTTGCCTGTGGTTTGGCATGGCATGCACATCCCGAATTGCAATTATTTTGGCAATCCCTGAATAAACTTGTTTTGAGGGTAAAGTAACAGGAAAATTTGCTTTTTAGGTTGACAGTAACACTCTCACCTCCTTCAGCTCTTAGCTCCAATGTCACCTTCCTGACAAAGTGATGCAAGCCAACCAAGCTGATATCACAACCAGTTCCCAGCCCCTCATGGCCTTTCTATCCTACTTGTCATTCTTCCCATAACAGATACATCACCTACCATACTATATAACTTACTATGACATCTTACTATGTCTGCCAAAAGCACTAGGACGGCCCAGCACATGCAGGCAGATTTGCTGAAGAAACACACAACTCCAGGCCTTTGTGGCTGGCCAGGACCCCTGAGCGCAGGTCTTTCAGGCCCTTCTGCCCCTGTGGTGCCTACATCCAATCGGGCACAGCTCATTTCAGGGTCTTATTTCTTGCTCTTATCACATCCTTTACAAGTTTCCTGATTTTCAGATTCAGATGTAGAACAGTTTCTTGAACAGGTCCAGTGGGTGTCTCCCAGGCACCTCAAACACACATGTGCAGAACTGAACTCAGCATCCTCCCTCTAAATTTTTCCTCACTAGGGAATGGCCTGAACCCCTGCAGACCGAGCCAGACACCTCCCTCCCCCAACCCCAAGGCTCCAAGTCCAGCCATTCCCTCTCCTTGCTGTCTCTCATGGTCATGTGGTCTGACTGTGCCCTCAGCTCTGCCTTCTTTAGAACCAGCCTCCTCGACATCTGGTCACTTCAACCCCTGCACCCCAACAGTCTCTCTGATCCCGAGGATGACCAGCTATGTCCCTGGTCCAATCCCTTCAGGTTTATCACTGCTTCTAGCACAAAATCAGTCTCTGCGATGTGACCTGGAGGCCTGCTCCCACCTCACCACTCCCACACCCCTTCCCTTCTCCCTTCCCTCACACGCTGTGCCCCACCCACACTTACAGCACCTCCAAGAGGCACATCCTCCCTTCTCCCCATTCTCCTGCTCTGGCTGCTGCTCCCCAGGCCTGGAACACTTGTGCTTCCTCGCCAGTTGAATCCACTCATCTCCCAAAGGTAGAGACCCACAGTGCTCCCAGGGCACCTGGAGCCACCCCCACCAGCCCCCACCTCCTCTGCCTGGTCCTTCCAGCCTCCTCCCCGTACACTCTGTGTACCACTGGGCCTTTTGACAAACCTCCAGGGAGGTCCCAAGGATAAGCAGAAGATCTGCCATGGGAAAGTCAACCACATGCAGCAAGAACCTCTGGGGCAGCGGCTCCCCAAAGAACACGATGTCCGGCTTCACGATGCCAGTGCAGACTGGGCAGCGGGGGACCCTGTCCACCAGCACGTCGGCCTGGGGTAACACAAACAGAAAATAGGCCTGAGGAAGATGTTGTAACACACTGTAAAAGGAAAAGGCAAAAACAACTTATTAAGAAATTTTCAAATATTCACAATAGCTGAGAGAGCAGTATAATGAACTCCCATGTACATAACGAACCCAGCTTCTGTGATTATTGAGATTTTACCAATTTTGTTTCATATAGCCCCCCAAATTTTGGGGAGGTTGGAGTATTTGAAAGCAGATCCTGGACATCACATGATATCTAGCACATCTAACACTATGCTCTGCATCTGAGGTGGTTATCAGAGACATTCAGGCGCTAAAGAAATACTCAGTGGATTACACAGTCCTCAGAAGTTACTCTGAAGGCATTTGGCCTACAATAGGCATTATTCAATGAGAAAATTTGTCCCTCATTTTAGCTGAAGTGGTCATGATATTGTCTTAGCCCTGGGAGATGTTCAGGTCAGCTTCAACTCACTGGCTGGAGTTATGAGTAACATTTACCACAAACCTCTTCCTTGCAGGCCAAGGTAGAGCAGATGCAAATTATTAACATATCCTGCTACACTTGGATTGATGCCTTGGGCTAGATGCTAAAGGAGGAAAACTAAGGAAGAAGACACTTGGCTTTCTAAGATAAACCTTTACAGCTAGTGGGATTTGTTTTAGCAGGCTGAACCCAGTAAAAAACAGCAGAAACACTGGACAAAAGAAACAGACTATTCAAAGACTTCAGATATTATCAGATACACATTAAAAACTATATTATATTTAAATTAAACAAGACAGGCTTGAAATATCTACTGCAGATAGAAAACTATAAAAAATAATGTAGTGAATTTGAAAAAGAACAAAATAGAACTTCCAGTAATACAAAGTAAAGTAAGGAAAATTAAAACTCCATGGAAGAGCTTTATTCTCTAAATAGAGCATTGATAAACTGGAAAACAGACCAGAAGAAAGCACACAGAATGCAGCACAAAGAGGAGCAAGATGGAACATAGAGAAGAGTGGCCAAGAACTGTGGGTGAGAGCATGAGAAGGTCTCACAGATATTTAATCAGAGTTCCACGAGGGAGAGGAGAGGAGGTGGGAGGGGAAATCAATGTTTGAAAAGATAATGGCTGAGCATTTTTCTAGCAAGGATGAAAGATATCAAACCACAGATTCAGAAAGCCTTACAAATTTTAAGCATCATAAATAGATAAAAGGAAATCCATATGGAGACACACCACAGTAAAATTGCAAAACTCCAAAGACACAGAGAAAAGTTCTAAAAATGATTCTAAAGTTTATATGAAGAGGCAAAAGATCCAGAATATACAACACAATATTGACGGAGAAGAACAAAGTTGGAGGACTGACACTACCCAAATTCAAGACTGGGTAACTTAAAATAAATTTAAACTATTCTGCATACTATAATGGTAGATACATGTCATAATTTGTCCAGACCTATAGAGTGTACACACCAAGAGCGAACTCTAATGTAAACTGTGGACTTTGAGTGACAGATGATACGTCAGTGTAGGTTCGCTGATTGTAACAAATGTACCACTCTGGTGTGGGACGTTGATAGTGAGTGAGGCTGTGCTGTGTGTGTGAGGGGCGGTATGTGAGAATTCTTTGTAATTTCCACTCAATTTTGCTGTGAACCTAAAAGTGCTCTAAAAAAATAAAATCTACTAAAAAAAAGGTATCTTAACCATCCTAAAATTCATATGGAATCTCAACAGACCCTGTAGACCCAAAACAATCTTGAAAAAGAAGAACAAAGCTGGAAGACTCACACTTCCTGATTTCAAAACTTATTACAAAGCTACAGTAATCAAAGCAGCATGGTACTGGCATAAAGACAGGCATTATAGACCATGGAATAGAAGGCCCAAAAATAAATCCTTGCATAAGATCAATGATTTTCAAAAAGGGTGCCAAGACCATTCAATAGGGAAAGGACAGTCTTCAACAAATGGTGCTGGGAGAACTGGACAGCCACAAGGACAAGAACGAGGAGAGCCCTTACCTTACACCATACACAAAAACTAACTCAAAATAAAAAGCCTAAACGTAAGAATTAAAAACACAGAGAAAAGATTCACAATGTTGGATGTGGTGATGATTTCTTGGATATGACACAAAAACCAAAGGTAACCAAAAAAAAAAAAAAAAAAACCAGATAAATTGGACTACATCAAATTTTAAAACTTTTGTGTGTTAAAGGGCACTATAAACAGAGTGAAAAGGCAACTCACAGGATGGGAGAAAATATTTGTAAATCCTATATGTAATAAGGGGTTAATATTCAGAATATATAAAGAACTACAACTCAACAACAACAAAAAACAAACAATCCAACTAAAAAATGGGCAAAGGACTTCAAGAGACATTTCTCCAAAGACGATATACAAATGACCAATAAGCACATGAAAAGATGCTCAACATCACTAATGGAAAATGCAAATCAAAACCACAATGAGATATCACCTCATACTCATTAGGATGACTACTATCAAAAAAACAGAAAACAACAAGTGTTGGCAACGATGCAGAGAAATTGGAACCCTCATGCATTGCTGGTGGGAATGTAAAATGGTGCAGTTACTATGGAAAACAGTATGGAAGTTCCTCAAAAAATTAAAAATAGAATTATCATATGACCCAGCAATTCCACTTCTTGATATATACCCAAAGACTTGAAAGTAGGAATTCAAACAGATATTTGTATGCCCATGTTCACAGCAGCATTATACACAATAGCCAAAAGGTGGAAGCGACCCAAGTGCCCATCAACAGATGAATGGATAAACAGAATGTGGCATATGTTAAAATGGAGTATTATTATATCTCAAAAAGGAAAGAAATTCTGCAGTATACTACAAAATGGATGAGCCTTGAGGATATTATGCTAAGTCACAAAAGAACAAAATATTGTGTGATTCTACTTATATGAGATACCTAGAATAGTCCAATTCACTGAGACGGAAAGTAGACTAGCAGTAACCACAGGCTGAGGGAGGGGAGAGAGGTAAGTTGTGTTTAATGGGAACAGAGTTTCAATTGGGGATGATGAGAAAAGTTCTGGAGACGGATGGTGGTGATGATTGCACAGCAACGTGAATGTACTTAAGGCCACTGAACTGTGCACGTTAAAATAATAAATTTTATGTTGTATATATTTTAAAACAATAAAAATAATTTTTAAAAAGAGTATTTTAACTGTGAAAACAAAAAGTACACAGGTGGTAATTTTAAAAGATTAGAACAGAGAATACACTTCCTAAGCTCGTACAGGGGGAAAAAATGGAAGGACTAAAAAGGCAGGAAAGACAGAAAGCGCAAAATAAGATGGTAGACTTAAATCCAATATTTCATTGATTACATTACTGTAAGTGGATAATTCTTCCAATTAAAAAAAGAAATTATCAGACTGGGTTAAAAGATAAAACCTAACTATATGCTTTATAGAATAACATATCTAAAACATAAGAATACGGAAAGACTAAAAGCAGACACATGACAAAGACACCCCAGCAAATACTACCCAAAAGAAAGCTGACGTTGTCAGACAAGACAGACTTTCAGGTGAAAGTGATTTCTAGAGATGGAAGAGGATAAAACAATTGTATGTTTGAGTGCACCTCAATTACTTAATCTCAAGATACATAAGGCAAACAGACAGAAATACAAGTAAAAATAAATAAATCCACAAAGTGGCACATTTTAAAACAACTCTCTCAGAATAATCAAAAAAATAGGTCACGATATATAAAAGACTTGAACAGAATGAAACTTGACTTCTGACCATATGTGCAGAACGATGCTTTCAACCACTGCGTAATGCTCTTTCTTTTCAAGTACATTCTGAAAGGTACATCCATTTACAAAAATGGATCATATATGAGGCTGTAAAGCAAATCTCAACACATTTCACAGGACTCAGATCCAACAGCAAGAAGGACAAGAGAGAATTCGAATACTGGGATAGGAGAGTAGAGTAATACAAATTGTTCGCAAAGTGAAAGATCTTTTAGTATTGCAGAATGGCAGGACTTAAATTATAGCTATATCATTTTTGGCAGGTGGCCAGGGAAATTCACACATATTCCTATGGATGAGATTGGAGAAGGGACAATGAACGTAGGCAGACTTCACAGGGCAGGACCTCAGAGAAAGAGAGGCGGTGGGCAGGGTCCGAGACTCCCAAGGCCTGCTCGGCTCCAGACCAGTCCCAGCTCAGCCCAACGTGCGCCTCCCTGGGGCCTCCATTATGAACCTTCCAAGCCTGACCCAGGGAGAGTCTAGTCCTGTGGGAAGCTTCAAGTTCTTTGCAAGATGGTTGTACCATTTAAAAGAACAGTTTTTGGGCCGGCCCAGTGGCATAGTGGTTGGGTTCACGCTCTCCACTTCAGCGGCCTGGGGTTCGCAGGTTCGGATCCCGGGCACAGACCTGCTCACCGCTATCAAGCCATGCTGTGGCAGGCATCCCACATATAAAGTAGGGTAGGATGGTCCCAGATGTTAGCCCAGGGCCAATCTTCCTCAGCAAAAAGAGGATTGGCAACGGATGTTAGCTCAGGGCTAATCTTCCTTAGATAGATAGATAGATAGATAGATAGATAGATAGATAGATAGATAGATAGATAGATAGACAGACAGACAGACAGACAGATAGGGCAGTTTCACCATTTTTTATCCTGAGGTTCCAGAAACACAAGTGGGGGATAAGGAGGTTAGGGTGATTACAGCGCTATGGCTAGTTTCCAAAGGTTTACCAGAGCCTGCTCTCAATCTGTATTGAAGAAAAGTCTCTCAATTTGTTTGATTTTTTTAAAAGAAAGAAAAAGAGACTTCATCCTTATTCACAGTTTCCACCACCGGTTTTCTGAGAATTCTGAAACTTACACTTCCTGCTCACACCTCTTTCCTGAGCTCCAGACCCCCTGGACAGGTACACCCAGAGGACCTGTGCCCAGGTCATCTTCCTAGAGCCCTTCCTCTCCCCCACC